AGCTTCAGGCAGACTTTTCAGACAAGGGCAAAAAGCAGCCACTGTCTTCACCAAAACACCACAAGAATGATTTCTAGGCCACATACTAAAATTCTCCTCTGAACCTCATTAGCCAGCCCCCACAGGTCATCAAATCACACTCCTACTAGTATGGTCCACTAAACAGCGCTTAAAGCATGCAACGGCTTTTCTAATCCACAGTCCCAAGGTCCATATTCCTTCAAACAAAAGCATGGTCAGGCCTATCCCAGCAATACCCCAGTCCCTGGTACCAACATCTGTCATCGTGTTTCAATTGCTGTGAAGAGACACCATGACCATGGCAACTCTGATAAAGGAAAAATATTTAATTGGGGTGGCTGGCTTACAGTTCCAGAGTTTTAGTCCATTATCATCATGGTGGACATGGTGACGTACAAGCAGACATGGTGCTGGAGAAAGAGCTGAGAGTCTTACATCTTGATCCGCAGGCAACAGAAAGTGAACTGTGTGTCACACTGAGCATGACTTGAGCAAAGGAGACCTCAAACCTCACCCCCACAGTGACACATTTCCTCCTACAAAGCCACACCTCCTAATAGTGCCACTCCCTTTGGGGGCCATTTTCTTTCAAATCACCACATTGTTACACTCAAAAACAGTCTAAGGAAATACAATGACTAAATGGAATGTGGTATACTGAATGGAATCCTGACATAAATATGAATAAAGAACAAAATCAACTGATTATAATTATTGGTTCAATGATTGTACCAAATTTATCACATGTGCTGAAGCATGTGTATGTATTTAAGTGTATAGTACAGCAGGGAAAACGGATGAGCAAGTATCTACATTTTTATTGATATGCTGACTCAAAATTCAGTAGTGGTATAGCTGCATTACATGGCAGTTAAATATATTTTTTAAAGAATCTTCTGTGATGGTTTGAATGAGAATGCCTTCCAATGTCTTTCATGTAGTTGGTGGTACTGTTTAGGGAGGTGTAGACTTGCTGGAGGAAGTATAACCCTGGAGGGTGGGCTTTGAGGTTTCAAAGTCTAACACTATTCCCAGTGCTTGCTCTCTGCTTCATGCTTGTGGTTCAAAATGTAAGCCCTTAGCTTGCTGCTCCAGCCTTTATGCCTGCTGCATGCTGTCATGTTTCCCTACCATGATGGTGATGGACTCTTATCCCTCTGGAACCATGAGCCCAAATAAACTCTTCCTTTTATAAGCTGCCTTTGTCATAGTGTTTTATCACAGCAACAGAAAAGTAAATAATGCCCAGGGGTGGCACCACCCACAATGGGCTGGGCTTTTCCACATCAGTAATTTTAAAAATCTACTACAGACTGACTACAGGCTATCTGATAGACGCATTTTCTTAACTGAGTCTAGGTTGTCTCAAGTTGATAAAAAAAAAAAAAAAAAAAAACCAAGAGAGAGAGATAGACAATAGTTGGCAAAGATTTCCTTTTTTTCTGTAGGCTGTCTCTTCACTCTGCTGATTATTTCCTGTGCTTTTAATTGAAGTCTTTATCATCAAGTGTTTTGTCTATGTTTCCACCTAGAAGTTTTAGAGTTTCGTGTATAATATTAAGGTGTGTTATCCATTTTGAATTGATTTTTGTGCAGGATAAGAGATATTTATTTAGCTTCATTCTTTACATGTGGATAACATGTTTTCTCAGCACCATTTGTCTTTTTTCTGATGTATATTTTTGACATCTTTTTCAAAAATAGGTGGCTGTATCTATGCGATTTTAGAAATAGGTATTTTAAAATGAAAAATCTTTTGATAGGAATGATGGTTCTTTATAGAGGAGTTTGTTTATTCTTATTTAAAACTGAAATGTGGATGTAATGTATGAGAGAAGAATGAATAAAAAGTAAAAATAAATGATTAAAAAGTAAAATAAGACTGGAATGTTCCCAATCCTGGAGTCCTCACTGATTCATAGTAGTAACTGAATACCATCCCCTTCCAAACACACACTATCCTTGGACAAATTTGGGGTCAAAATGTAACTAGCAACTAGCATGACTCGAGTGACTTTTCAGCTCTGCACAAAAGGGTGGAGATGAGAACTGAAAAATTGAAATTGGCAAGGCTTCATAACAACTGCTGTGAGTTGACATTTGGCCAATATAAAGACAGCAAGGGCAAACCAGCACCAAATTTAATTGATTAAAGTAGAACTATGGATGAGTTTCAGTGGGCTAAGATTCAGCTTTACAAGACCCAAGACCTGGGATAAAGGCTGGCAAGATGGTTTATTGGGTAAAGGTGCTTGCTGACAAGCCTGAGTTCCATACCGTCATAGGGTGAAAGGAGTGAACTAACTCCCCAAAGTTATCCTATTGTCTCAACACCCAGAACTCATGTAAAAGTCAAGTATGTAGGATGGCCTGTGTATAATCCCAGCATGGTGGCTTTTCTGTAATCCCAGTACACAGAAGGTGGAGATAAGAAATCCCTGGAGTAAACAGATGACCCAGACTAGCCTAAATTTTGAGCTCTGGATTCAGCAAGAGAACGTACCTCAATATATAAGGTGGAACATGGTTGAGGAAGACATGTAATGTAAATTTTGAGCTTAGAGCTCTAAGGATTTAGTATGGTGTCCAGTAGTCAGACCTCAAGCACTTCAGAAGGCTACCTAATTGTCCTAAATGAATTCTTCAATAATCTAAGGTTTGTTATTGTTAATTTTTAAAGAACCGTATCTGGGAGCTGGAGTGATGGCTCAATGGATTGAGAGTGCTTGCTACTTTTCTTTCTAAAATTAAAATTAAAAATAGAATTACATAATTTCTTCCCTTCATTTCCTCCCTCCAGTCCCTCCCTCCACCTCCTCACTTCCTCTCAAACTCATGGCCTCACACACAACATTCTGAGTCCTTGTAGAGTCATTTATATGTATAAGAAACCCTGTCTTGAAAAACCAAAACAAATGTTGAAAAGATTTCAATGCACAAAAACCTTTCTGAAAAATGCATTCTGACATTATAATCTATTAAAAATCTATTCCATTAGGAAACATATTAATTAGTAAGTATAGCCTGTTTCCATTTAGGAAAAAATAACAATTAGAGGAACACAGAAACTGTATAGGAAAAGGAACGAAAACATCAAAATACTAAAATACTAGTATTAAAATATTAAAATATTTATTAAAAATAAAATATTTTATTTTTCTATGGTTCTATATTCCCTATATTTTATCAAAAAATGAAACATTTATAATTAAAATTGTAGTTTTAGGTGTCTCTTTCTATCATTTTGTTTGTTTTGGGAAGGTTTCAAGTACAAAACAGAGAGTCAAGGGGCTCAAATATAATACTGGATGTGTGCTCTTGTTAAGTTCTTTTTCCTTCTCTTGGCTTCTGTTTATTCCTTCATGAATGTGTTAAGAGACTGGCAAGGATGTATCCCTCAGGACGCTTCTAATTTTGATCTTCAGTATTTTATTGCAAGGCCCACTGGGCTAACTGAGCTTCATAGAATCGTCACCAGTTGAAATTTATAGTGGGGTATTGAGCTCTCTGATCTTGAGACATCAATTGGTTGAATTTCCCAATTTTTGTGTAACACGATTTGTATATTTTTATAATGAAAAATAATGTACATGTACTATTGACTTTAAGATATAGAAAAGATATGGAGAATTTAAGAAAGTAAAATAATCCTCAAATAAATTGTTGAACAGGAAAAAAAGAGAATGGCAGATACTTTAGAATTTTGCTTACATAAAATTTAAAAATACTGAACAGTTCTATATATTATTTATGGCCACAACTACATGTGCAAAGGTATAAAAACAAATTAGAAAATATACACCAAATTTATTGTTGTTACAAATAAGACTGGGCTGGGGGATAGAATTTAACTTGTCTGCTACATTTCATTTTCTCTTTCTGATAAAAATCAAAAGCAACTAAATTCAAAATGTTAAAGTTTGTCAAATTGAGGATATATCCAGGTATGTTTGTCGTATCCGTCATTCTCAGTGTTTTGCAATACTTTTGATTACTCAAAACAAAAATCATACATAAATTTAAAAGAAAAGTGTTGGTTTTTTTTCTGTACACTTCAGTATTTGTGACATGTTAATGGGTTTCTTCTTTACAGGACCTTGAATACTTTCTACTCCTGAGCTATACCCTTACCCTTCAAGGCTTATTTTGATAAGTGACAAATGAACTTAACCTTAAAACTAAACTAGAGAACTAGGAAAAGAGGAGAAAAAATAACAAGAGAAAGAAAAATAAAGTCACAGTCACTGAGACAAGACAGAGGTCCTAGAGCCTTGATACGTCAAAGTTACCAAAGTAACTCAACAAATTTCTGTTCTAGTCTGTAAGCCAAAAGTTGAACAAATGTGTATCTTTCAAGATTAGGGATCCTGGAAGCTCCTGTTTTCACCCTCTACTATAATATCATTTTAAAATTCTTCTGTTTAACTGATTTTTTTCCAGACAGAGGTTGTCTCCTCCAACCACTTACCCTTTCGTGGTATCAGTTACACACCCCAAAGTGATATTTATTTTGTCATTCTTTTCTGAATCAAAGTCATACTGGTTTCCAGGAATCATGTGGGGAACATGGTCTTCTGAATTTATTCCCTCACAGTAACTTAGCTTATAATATTTTTAAAAACTTTGTGTTATTATGGAAGTTGAACCTAATGAAGAGAAGCTTTTCATCCCACCCCCTTAATCCCCTCTCCCAAGTTAATACCATCGTCATAAAAATATCATGTTTATCTATAATCTTGGCCCATTTGTTGCATATTTATTAGTCATTGAATCCATCTGTCTTCATCAACTCACTGTCTCCTGATTTCCAGCCATGGCCCCTTTTGTCATGCCCTTTTGCTCATAACTCAGTAATATATATATATATATTTTTTTTGCTTTTTGAGGGTACCTTATAATATAATGGTTGTTTTGAATGTTTCTTCCCATTCTGACCCCTTTTCACACACAGGAGCTCAAGCGTCTCTTGTCTGATGTACCTGAAGTACTGGATCCAGGCTGTACTCTTTCAGGGCAGCAATGACCTTGCTCCAGCCACACTATAGATCAGGAAAACAGTTTCAGTCAAACAACATACAGATCCTGGGCAACATCAAAGGGAAATTTATATACAGGCTCTATTGATAATTGAGAAGCAGTAGGTTGGGAAGGGAGTCAGGTGGAGCAGAGTATTAAACACAATGGATAAAGACAGTTTTCATGCATTTGAAAGTAAGATTTTCCATTATCTCCTGTTTAAAGAGACCATCGATAGGGAAATCCAAGAGAAAATACTAAGGTCTGGCCTATAATCATCACTGTGGATCAGACTGATGCATAGTGTGGCTCTGAGAAACACACTTGAACATTTCTGAGACTCAGTTCTTCAAAATAGAAACTGTTAACCATTATGCAAGCTTCAACTTTACAACTTAAAAAATCTGAAGTTGGAGTGAAGGGGAAGCTGCTTGTCTTACATGGTCACCAATATACACATGGTGCATATACACTCAGGCACGCATGTAAAATAAAAAGAAATAAAAACAATAAATCATTCATCAAGCTCAGTAATTATCGTGGCTCAGTAATCTCAGCACTCATAAGGTCAAGACAGGAGGACTGTCATGAGTCCTGGGCCAGTCTGAGTTATATAATGAGTTGCAAGCTAGCCTGGACTACAGTGTGAGACTCTGCCTCAAAAAGAAAACAAACCAAAACAATAAAATAAGGAAAAGCATCCCTCATACTAAGAAACAGAAGATCTCCAACTGAATGAAACCAATGTTCAAACCAAAATAGCTAAGATATGAGAATTATCTGGGAGGAGAGAAGGGAGGGGAAACAGCAATCGGGATGTATTGAAAACAAAACAAAACAAAACAACAACAACATAAAGAAAAGAAAAAATAAAAATAAATGGAATTACCAAAGACTTTAAAACTACTGTGACAAAAATTGTTCGGTTAGCATTTACAAAAGCTTTTGGAACAAAAAGAAAACATCAAGTATAAAAACAGAGCATATACAGAAAAACAGTAGAAATTTTAGAAATATATAATAAAAACAAAATAAATTGTATTTAGAAATACAATAACACAAACTGGAGAGTACTGAGGAAAGAATCAGTTGACTTGATAGAATGATGGAAATTAGTCAGTTTGAGTGAAGAAAAAAAAAGAGGAGGCTAGAGTCAATGTCCAGAGTCTCTGGGAATGACAGAACTGAAGCATAAAGTTTCTGATGATCAGAGGAAACCAAGACAGATAGGAGGTGAGTCAGGGATTTAAAGCAACAATAGCTATTTTTAAAAAGTCTTAAAATTTGCAAAAGACATAAACCCACATGCTCAAGAAGCTAACTGTATTTCAAAGCAGGTAAATTCTAAGAACTCCATGCCAAGGCACATCATGGTCAAACTTCTTTTAAAAAAATCTTGAAAGCAGTAAAGAGAGAAATGGAACCTTATCTATAAGGGAAAATAGTTAGAATAACAGCAGATTCTCGTCAGAATCCATGGAAGCTAGAATGGGATGACATATTTCTCATGCACATTCATAAAAGAACTGTCAACCTTGATCCAGTGAAAATATACTTTAGGGAATTAGAGAGCAATAAAGAAATTTTCAAATGGAAGAAAATTAGAATTTCTTGCTAGAATACCTGCACTGAAAGAATTGTTAAAGGAAGTTCTCTAAACAGAAAGGAAAATGCAAAAGCCATGATCTTGGAACCTCAGGAAGAAAGAACAACAGAAAGAGGAAGGCTAACCTTCCTCAATTATGTTGTACAGCTGAAGCAAAAAATTCTAACACTAGCCGATGTAGTTATAAATACATAGAGAAGAAATATTTAAAAATCATTATGTTATAAATAGGGAAGGGTAAAGTAAGTTAAGAAAGGCAAGGTTTCTATAATTTACTAAAGCAGCCAAAATGTCAATCTTAGTAGGCTATAATAAGTTACAGGCAGGCAATGTATAAAATAGTTTCTCTCTCTCTCTCTCTCTCTCTCTCTCTCTCTCTCTCTCTCTCTCTCTCCCCACTCTCTGTATGTGTGTCTCTCTCTGTGTCTCTTTCTGTCTCTCTGTCTCTCTCCTCCCTCCTCTTCTTTCTCTCTGTCTCTCTCTGTCTCTCTGTCTCTGTCTCTCTCTGTCTCTGTCTCTCTCTCTGTCTCTCTCTCTCTGTCTCTCTCTCTGTCTCTCTCTCTCTCTCTCTCTCTCTCTCTCTCTCTCTCTCTCTCTCTCTCTCTCTCCCCTTTCTCTCTGAACCAGTTTCTCCCTATGTAGCCCAAACTGGACTTGAATTTATTATGTAACTCAGGTTGTTCTCCAGCTTCAGCTCTTCCTACCTCAGGCTCCCAAATGTTGAGATTATAGGCATGTCCTACCATGCCCAACTTAGGGTAGTTTATTTTTAAAAGCACAAAACTAGTTTTTGGTTTGAGAAAATAAACATGTACTTACCATACAAACCAGTAATCATATACAAAAATTTATCATGGAAAAATGAAATTGTGTTCTCTCAAAACCTGTTCACAGCAGCTTTGTTTATTGATAGACTAAAGTGTAGACAAGTAAAGTCTCTCAGCACGTGAAAAACTAAACTGTGATAGTCATACTATACAAAACTGCTGAATAGTAAGGAAGGACAAACTCTTCATATACAAAACAAATGGGATTGCTGGGCCTGGTGATGCACACCTTTAATCCCAGAACTCAAAAGGCAGAGGCAGGTAGATATCTACATAATGAGTGCTGGCTAGCCAGGGCTACAGTGAGATCCTTTCTTAAACAAACAAACAAACAAACAAACAACAACAACAAAATCTCCAGTAGAGCTGGGGCATTATGCTGTGTGAAAAGAGCCAACCTGAAAAGCTCATATACTCTGTGACTCCATTCATGAAATATTCTTGGACTAAGGAAACTATAGATATGGAAACAGAATACTGATTATGGACATTTGGTGTGGCATAGAGTAAACGTACAAAAACTACAATGGATGTAGTTTGTGATGGAATAATATTTTTTCTTGATTGTGTTGGTAGTTATACAAATATACATGTGTGATATGATGGCATGGAACTGTACATAGTCACTATTTCAAAGTCAAATTTATGATCTTGAAATTATACTATGATTGTGCAAGATGTAACAATTGGGAGAACTGGGTGGGGAGTACATAAGGCCCCTCTGTCCTGTCAACTTCCTGTCAATCTGTTCATTATTGCAAAATAAAACTTAAAAAGAAAAACTAATTGTGATAGGCAGATCAATTGCCTTTCAAAAATGTCCACACCCGGCTTCCAGAACCTGTGAATATTTTAGGTTATATGGTATCAGAGGAATTAAGATTGTAGATAGAATTAAGGTGGCAAATCAACTAACTCTGAGTTGGGGAGACTGTCCATTGAGGCAAACTCAATGCAATTGCAGTGTTATTTGTAAGTGGGAAGGGGAGGAAGAAGAGTAAAAATCAGAGATGCAGATGTAAACCAGACTGAAGTGATGAGATGTGGGGACTCAATCGTCCACTGGAAGTTTTGAATAAAGAAGGTCTTCAACATGACATGAAATATAAGTAGTATCTAGGTGCTATAAAATGGATGGAAATAGAGTTTCCTCCTGTGGTCTCCAAAAGGAACACAGCTATTTTCATACCTTGACTTTAGCCTAGTGAAACAGAGTTCATACTACTCACATCCACAACTACAGAATAATAATTTATATTGTTTTAAACCACTAAATTTGGGGTAAGTTTTGTTTAAATAGTAGCCACAGTAGAAAACCAAAGCATCCACCAATAGTTAAAAACTAACCCACTCAAAGATAGACAACCGGGATACTGGGGCATTGGAGCATTCAGGACCTGAATTCGTATCTCCAGCATCCACATAAAAAATCAGGCACAGCAATCCCAGCATGAGAGAAGAGAAGGCATAAGGATCCCAGGGAGTTGCTGGCAAGCCCACTTAGCGAACTGACAAGCTCCAGGTTCAGTGAGAGATTTTCCTCAAAAAATAAGGTGGACGAAACGAACATAAATGTGGGAAAGGGACTTGTAGAGAGGCCTTAGCAAGGATGGGAGGCAAATAATAGAGGATGGGGGGTGAGAGTAATCAGAACACATTATGTATGGATGAAGTTTTGAAAGATATTTAATTTCAGACTTAATTTAAAATAAAATTTTAAAATTTAATTTTACATTTAATTTTGAATCACAACAAGGTGGAGAATGATTGATGAAGACACTCGATGTCCATCTCTGGCCTTCTCACACATTCACACTCACATGCAATCACATTTGCAATACACCAGCATGTATGGATTGTGCTCTCTGGCAATCATCAATATATAATGATGAATGCTATTTGCTCTACATCACCAATGAAATCAATGATAGAACATCTTCCCTCAGAACTGCAAGGAAAAGAAACACGTTGCTCTTGACTAAATGGGGCCTATTAAACAAAAAAAAGTGTATAAAAACAGAAACATTTGTGCCACAGAAGCTGGGAATCTTGTCTCAGTCCATTTTGAGATATATTTGCTGAGGAATTTTCTATGTTAAGATAACGATAGTTATTTTCAAAAGACATATAATACAGAGACAGTGGAAAAATGCACTGAACTACAAAAAAGGTTAGTAAAAGACGTCACCACCTAATTTCCTATGATAGGACAATTCATTTTATTCTTTTTGTCTCTCTATCCCCAATATCCCAATGCTTATCACATAATAGATGCTCAAAAAATATTTGATGAATTGTACTATAAATGATAACTAATAGAGCCACAAAGCATTAAATTTTATTAACCCTCACACCCTATATAGTCCAAACTGCTAAGACAAAATGCCATAAACATTTTTATTCATGAATAGGAATTCTACATATTACCATCGCAACTGCAAGGCACAGATGTGGCATATGCTTATTTTTGCAGTGCTTACAGAGATTTGCATTTAGTATATGATATTAGAGTTCCAGGATGAAATCTTTTAACTCACTCCAGAATGACTAATACTCCAAAAGGCCCATGAATCCCAAGGGTCTCATGAAC